AATGAGGTCACCCCTCAGTCTCCTCTTCTCCAAGCTAAAGAGCCCCAGCTCCCTCAGCCTTTCCTCAGCAGGGAGATGCTCCACTCCCTTCATCATCTTGGTGGCTCTGTGCTGGACTCTCTCCAGCAGTTCCCTGTCCTTCCTGAACTGTGGGGCCCAGAACTGGACACAATATCCCAGATGTGGCCTCACCAGGGCAGAGTAGAGGGGGAGGAGAACCTCTCTCGACCTACTAACCACACCCCTTCTAATGCCCCCCAGGATGCCATTGGCCTTCCTGGCCACCAGGGCACAGTGCTGGCTCAGTCTTCACTAACAGGTCCCATTTCCTCAGTCTCATCCCTCCTCTGCCACTGCCCGGGCTGCCTCCTGGTTTGTCTGAATTTTTCACGCTGAGACAATACCAGGGTTAGGTTCCAGCAGCACGAAACAGCAGCACAGTCCCCTCCATAAACAAACACGTGTTACCCTGCAGGAGTGAGTCGGGCTGCCAGAGTGTCCTCCCCAAAGGCAGGGTAACTGCATGGGTTTGCTCCCTGCATCCCAGCACGGGATGTGTGTGGCACGCACCGTGGCAATTCTGATCTCCTCCAGGGCTTCAGCCAGTTCAGCTTTCTTGAGAGCCAGTTTCCTCTGTGCAAAGCTTCTGTATTTCTCTTGGGGTGATGATGTCCCCGAGGGCAAAGGGGGGTTTTTATTCAGCATCAATGCAACTGGTGAAACAACAACAACAAAAAGGTCTGTGTTTGTTTCACAGTCTCAACTCTTTACATCTACTCTCTCCTCTCACTCGTGGCTGAGGGAAATACAAAGAGTAACTGAGGCTGAATTCAAACCTCCTGCGGCCCCAGCGCAGGTTACAGCCCAGCAGCCCAGCCCAGAAAGTGCTGCCTGCTCTTTTCTAGTCCTCCCCCTTTATTCTCAGCACTGCCTCTTGGGTCATTTTCTTTTGTGGCTTTTGCTGAATGTTTCCCAGCAGAAAGTGCCGGGTTAATGCAAAGGCAGCACCAGCAGCAGGGGCAGGGCAGTGTGGAAGGGAATCTCTCCCAACCTGGCTTGTTCTTTTCTCCTTTCTTCTTCTTGTCCTCACTAGTGAGTGGTGGCAAAGTCAACCTGAGGGCTGGAGATTTCCCCTCCTCTGCTTCTGTCTTCTGCCTTTTGCTGTCACCCTAAACTCAGCACGACAGGAGCACAGAGGAGACGAGGAGTCAGAGGAGGTTTGTGAGCAGAGACCTCTGTGATGTGACCCCCAGTTCTGACTCCCCTCCCCAGCTCCTCGGGGGCTTCCAGGTGTCCCTGTGTGCCCATCACAGCACCAAGTCTCAGGCCAGAGCGCTGTGAATGATAAACCCCAGGGGACAAGGGACTCACTGTTCTCTGGAACTCTTCCATGATCCGGGGGCCCTGTGCATCCATCCCCACATGGGCTCTGGAAAGACAAAGCAGAACCCCACTGAGGAGGCTGAGCC